TCATGATGTTGCTTATTGGTCCAGTTGTGAGGATTTTTGTTTTCTGTATGTTGAAGTGTAATGCATACTGAAGGCTGTGGTCTTTGATCTTCATCAGTGTTTCAAGTCCTCTTCACTTTAGCAAGCAAGGTTTTGTCATCTGCATATCGCAGGTTGTTAATGAGTCTTCCTCCATTCTTGATGTCGCGTTCTTCTTCATATAGTCCAGCTTCTCAGATTATTTGCTCATCATACAGATTTAATAAGTCAAGTGAGAAGTAATCAGGTTCTGGATATATCTTCAAGATAGAAGACAACAGGATTTGATGTTGTTCAAGGTGTGGGTTATAAGAAAAAGAAAGGAGTAAAGAATGACTGTGGAGATTTTGGCCTGAGCTAAAGGAAGGTTGGCATTCCCATTGTTTGAGATGGGGAAGACTGCGAGAGGATCAGGTTTCAATGGGAAATACTAGGGATTCGGTTTTGGACTTTTTAATTTAATTAATAAAACACTCAAAGTTTTGGGGTGGCCACTATCTTGGTCTACACCAAATAGAATCTCTTTTTTTCTCACACCCTCCATAGCAAAGGAATCCCCATGTCTTATCAGTTTTACTTTCTAAATATCTCTTAGATCCAATCCCTCTTCTCCAGTGCCACTTCTCTTGTTTTGGCTGCCATCAATCAGCTCTCCACGGACTGTTGAAGTAGACTTCAAACTGGTCTCCCTACCGTCAGGACTGGTCCTCTTCAAACAACATGTCACACTGCACCCAGAGTGACCTTTTAAAAATCATGCATGGCTCTGTCTATATTTCCCTCCTGAGGGCTAAAGCTTCAACTCCTGAGCATTGCACTTAAGGCCCTTCATTATCTGGCTCTTGTATACCTGGTCAGCTTCATCTCCTGCCACTCTCCCGTTTAATCTTAATGTTCCAATTATACCCAGTTCCTGGTGGTTTCCCAAGCACACCATGCTCACCATACATCTGTTTAGAAAATGTGCACCTGTGCACCTAGAGAAGTCTTGATCCATCTTTTAAAACTCAGGTGAGTCTTTGCTGACTCCTCTGAAGAGTTGTTTCCCTATCTATCTATATTACTTCAGTATATTGTGCATATTGTTTTTATTGTACTTACAACTGTATTATGCATTATTTATCTGTCTTAAATAATGAGTTCCTCAAAGGTAGAATGAGTGTCTTAGTCATCTTTGTATACCCAGCATCTGGTAGTGTTCCTGGCACATTAAAGTAGGTGCTCACTGTCCATTTGCTGAAGAGTTGAAATGAACAGGGTACTGTTAGATGGAAAGTCATATCACGTTTGTTTATTGACATCACTTCCCCTGCAGCCCTTTCATACTAATGCTGCTCTTCTACATTTGACATGCCACTGAGCCCTGAGGTGCAGTCCTCACTACTTTGTCCAGATTATCATATTTGAGCATCAGTGTATGGAGTGGCTTAAGTGAGAAGACCCTGGGGATAAGTTGTTTGGATTCAAATCCTGCTTCTGTTACTTACAAGTCATGTGTTGTTAAGAAAGTGAATTTACCTTTCTGAGCCTTGATTTCTTCATCTGTAAAATGCAGAAGATATCAGTACTGCCCCATTGGGCTGCTGTGAAGATTATAAGAGAATTCCTATAAAGTACTTAGCATAGTTTGTGAGACTCAGTATTTGTTATTCCTCCATCTCCATACAAAAACCCTCCTCCATCAAAACTCCCATCTTTTGGCTCATTTTCTACCCCTTCTTGGAACCATTGTCTGTCAGTTTCCAGGCCACTCCCCCAGAATCACCAAGTCTTTGTTACCTGGCTTACAAGATTTCTTTCCACCCCAACTGTTGTTATCATCCTGAGAGACATCAATGTCTTTGTAGACCATCACTTCAATTTCCTAGTCTTTATGGTTCCTTGACATCCTCAACTCCAGTGATACTCAGTTCTACTCCATTTCAGGAAATCATTTGTCTTCACTTGGAAGTGCTCCATCCCTGCAATCTGGAATTCCGAAATCTTATTCTGCTTAGGCTTCTAGGTCTCTCACTCATCTAGATTTCTTATCCCTTAATTACATCATTGTCTTTGCTAGTAGAGGTTAAGAGCATGGACTCCAAAGGCTGATTGTCAAGGTTCTAATCTCAACTTCACCACTTACTAGCTATGTAACCTTGGGCCAGTTGCTTAGACTCACTTGTTTCAATGTCCTCATCTGGAAAATAGAGATAATAATAGTATCTTCTCATAGGGAAGTTTGTGGATTAAATGAATTAATATATGTAAAGTGCTCAGCAATACAAATATCAGCCAGACACTGTGCAAGTGCTATATGTTAGTGGCTGCTTTCTTTATTTTTATTATTTTGCCAGACCCAAACCACCAACTGTCAAGCCAGAATGTACACTCATCGTGCCTACAGAGAAGCCCTGCTGGGGAATAGCACCTATTTCTGTTGGGTTGACTACAAAATCATGGGCTTTATTCTCACTAGACTCCTTGAGTATTATCATCCCCTCAGTCCCCCTAGTGATTGTCTTCTATCTTTCATTTTCCCTAAATGTAGACCCAAGCTTTTGCTACACTCCTCAAACCTTCTTCCAACCTCGGAAACGCTCCCCATGCTACTGACTGGTGATCTCACCTCTTAACTGACTGAGAAAAATACAGGCCATCAGGTGCATCAGGTATAAGGTCGCTTATCTGCATCCACAGTCATTCTTTTTTCCTTCCCATAATCTCAGAATGAGAAGCCAACTTCTCCTGCTCTGTACTAATTCTTCCAGTCTTGCTGTTGAAGCCATCCTTTCTCTCTTCCACATAAATCTCATACCATCAATTATCCTCTTACTCGCCTATATTTTAACTGCTTCCTCTCTGTTAGCTCTCCCCGCAGCCTATGATCATGGTCAAGCCTACCTGAATGTAAAAGAAAAAAATTAAAATCCCATCTTTGACCTTACATGCTCATCTGGCTATTCTGCTCTACCCTTTGTCCTCCCATTCCAGCCAAGCCTCTAGAAAGTGCAGTCTCCACCCCTAGTTGTTCGAAGTGTGGCCCGAGTACCAGCAACATCAGCATCACCAATGAGCTTGGTAGAAATGCAGAATCTCCAGCCCCACTCCAGACTTACAGAATCAGAATCTGCATTTTAACAGGATCCCCAGGTGATTTGCATATGCATTAAAATGCGAGATGAACTGGTCTACACTGACTTTTTCCCTCACATCTTCATTCCTTAATTCATTAACGTTTTTCTTCTTTTCCTGCACTCCACACAGCCAGTGTTGGAAATGATACTCATTTTGCTTCAGTGAGCATTTCTCAGTCTTTCCCTTACTTGAACTCTGCTGTATTTGATATCTAGCATGCCTCTGAAACTTTCTCTTCCATGGGTTTCTCTAACATACTTCTTTCCTCTCTTCCTTCCTGCCTCCTTCTCAGGTCTCTTTTCTTCTACTTATCCCTTAAACATGTTGTTCCCCAAGATTCTGTTCACAGACTTCTCTTTCTATTCTACAAATATTCTCTTGATGAGCTCATCATATGATTATAACTATGCTGATAGCTCCCCAGTCTCTATCTCTAGCTTCAGTCCAGTCCTGATGACTACATCCAGGCTTGTCACCTCTGCCTAGGTGACCTACAGACTTCATAAGTCTGAGTTCATTAATCTTCTCTCCACCCAACCCTCAACACCCAAAGAAAGTGAAACAACCAACAATAACAGTGATATTCCTCTTCCTGTATTCTCTATCTTTATTGGTAATACTACTGTCAGTCTAGAATCTTACACAGACATATGGGAGTTATCCTTGTCTTTTCTTACCCACGACCTCACATTTAATCAGCCACCAAGTCTAATCCATTTTACCTCCTAAATATTTTTTTAATCTACTCCCTACTCATTTTTACTGCTACTGCCTTAGTTCAGTGTCTCATTATCTCTCATCTAGACAATTACAATCACCTCCTAACTGTTCTCCCTGTCTTCAAATCCATTGTTCCCAAACTTCAGTCATTTTTTTAACTGCATCAACAATCTTTACTGTTTCTGTGTACCACCTGTTCTACTATTTACTGAATTGTTTCATATTAAATAAATTCACTTTTTTTTATCTCCTCTAAGCAATGATGTTCTTGAAACAATCTGAAGTGCTGATTATAGTGTTCAAATGCAATGCATACTTATTAAAACAAAGAAAATGTGCATCCTGTGCTACACTTTGAGAAACACTGGCATATAACACCTCTTACTATTTGGCCCTCTAACTCTGTAATTTATGCATTCATTCATAATTTAACTGAAACTTTTGTTGCATAGCTTCTGGATGGCACTGCAAGGCACTGAAAATAAGCAGCTGAATACAGGTGTATTTTTTATATGATTATTTTTACTCTGCAAGAATTTGGACTTAGCAGTTTTAATATTAGCTATTTTAACACTACTGTTTGATTATTTTACTACCATTGCCAATTTCATTGATTGATTGATTGATTGATTGCCGCCTCCCCCCAACTGATACAGTTTCTAAAACACTAATGGACACAAACTTTCTAAACCGTTAATGAACAGACTCTAGGAATATGTTCAATTGTGTTGCAAGAGAGAAACTGAAGTGACAATATTATGCTAATACTAATCTTCCCTGTGCATTCAATAAGCACCACAGATCCAAACACAATCAATAACTTCAAGAAGCAATCAACAGCCAACGAACAGAATACAAGTTCCGGCCAAGGTCAATATCTGTAACCATTGTCTACCATTTTCATGTTTTAGCTCACCCATTGTCACTCCTACAGTGGGAGGATAATTGATCTTGCTAGTGGGAAAAGGAAATTTTTGAGACATCAAAGACTTTTTTTGTAAAGTGTCCATCTCTTAGAAACCGGCTTAGAGTACCTACCTCTTAATTAATGTACTTTGTTTTTCTTTTTTTAAAAGGAGTAAAAAGTAAGATCTTCTGAAAGATTAACTATTTTTCTTGTTTTTTTTTTTTTTTCCTTTTCCTAGATCCCAAATGCCCAGGAGATATTGATTTTCATAACAGTGACTGGGACATTAAGACAATCACCAGCTCCTTGAAATTCTACCTCAGGTATGTCTGCTTTGATTTGGGACTTTGCTTTTCATAGTTGATGAAGTTTGTCTGGGTGGAGATAGGAGTTAATGTGATCCCAGTATCAGGAGGTTGGATAGGATTGCTAGAGAAAAAGAAAAAAAAAAAGCAGTAAAGAGGATTTCTATCAAAGAAGAATGTGTATTGGATGACTTTTTAAAAAAAACTAAAATTGGGAATTTAAGCATGAGAAACATTAAAAAAATAGCATTGCTATTGAAAAGGCTTTTAAAAAAGAGTATTTAAAAAAATTATGTCCTTGAAATAATTGAAGAATTTCTGCTATGATGCACAGATATTTAGAGTGATGTCATGATGGTGACTAGTAAAATCATGAGTTCTAACAGTTCAGTGTTGTTAACATATTTTGTTGAATAACAACCATTTTGAAACATTAAATTGCACTTGGACAAGAATGTTATATTATGTGTTATATTTCATGCCTTTTTCCATGTAATGGAAATAAAAACCAAGAAAACACAACCATAAAATGTTGGAGCTGAATCAAGTGGCAGCAGTAGGGGAAAAAAAAGTTAACTTACCAACAACATTTAGGGATATAAACCTAGATGGTTTTGTGAATAAACAGAACAATGATGAATATATTTTTCAGTTTATTGGCATAAATTTATACTATTATGTAAAAGGCTTTTGAGACATGTATTTTTTAAACTTATTCATTTCTTACCATTCTTTATGCCCCTTAGTATGCACCATACTTTATGTGCTAAAACGTCTTCTTTTTCAATTATTGTGCTTTTTAAGCATTGAGGTAGAGATCTAAACTCTGGAAAACATCATTAATCCAGAATAGATTGGGTCCCACATATTGCAGTTAGATGATCTTCTACTGTAGCATCATCTGAGAGCTTTACATAAACATGAATGCTCTTTCCAAGAGTATTTCTCCTGCATCTACCAAGAAAGAAAGGAACTGTTACTGGAGGGCTTACTCTGTGTTAGGCAGTGTGCTAGTTGCTTACACTGATGGCACTTTTTTTTTTTTTTGCCCAATAACCATATAAGGTAGGTGGTACTAGACTTATTTTATAGATGAGGAAACTGAGGTGCACCACCTCACCTCCATTAAGTAATATCCAAGATTACACAACTAGTATTATTTGAACCTAGGTGTTTCTGACTTGTAAGGCCACTAGTACTGGGGCATCCTCTTCACCTATTCCCCACCTGTAAGGGGCTGAGGCCTTCCTGATGTTGCTTGAGTAATACAGTGAGGACAGAGAACAATCTGCTATACACACTTTGAGAAAATTCATGATGATGGGAGTAGTGGGAGTGATTCCATGTCTCTAGCCTAGTTCAAAGGTGTCAATTTTTTAAAGGGTTTATATAGGTTAAGTTTTTCCCTCCATTACATCTTGCCCAGCTCATCCCATAATAAGCAGTTGGCCCCTTTGAAAAATGGGAAGACTAAGCCTGAAAGTGTGAGTGGGCTGCACTCCCAATTTGAGATGTTTATCCCTAAGATTCTTACTCATGGAATATATCAGTGTTTTCAGAGTGGTTCCCCATTTGTGTTCTCGGCTCCTATCTCACCCTTCATCCCCATCATTTCCAGAAATGTACTCTAAAAATCATCCCTTCTCTTTCCTGTATCTTCATCCTCTCTCATTCAATTGGGTCTTTCCTCTCAGCGTAATTATGCCCCAGCAATGCACATCTCCTCGACCCTGTGTCTCCTTTCATTCATTCCACCATTCACTTAACCACTTGATAAACATTTCCTGAGAGCCTACTCTATGTCAGGCATGGTGCTAGGCAATAGGCATACAGCTGTGAGTAGATATAGTCTCTGACCTTAAGGAATTTATAGTCCAGTGTAAGAGACAGACAAAAGATAAATAATCATACAAATACCATAACAAACTGTAATAAGTTTTCTGAAGGAAAGGTACAAGGTGCTATGAAAGCATATAACAGGCCCTGACCTGTTTTGGTTGGTTGTTTGAACTATAAGTATGATTTGGAATTAACTAAGGAGGTGGGATTCCAGACAGAGGGAACTACATGGGCAAAACCCTTGAGTTAGGATAGAGGAAGACCCCTTCAAGAAACTAGATGGACAAGATTGGTGGAGTATAGGGTGCAGAGAAGGAGGGAGAGGTATTTAGGGGCCAGATCAGGCAGGGTCTGGTAGGGCATTTTAAGGATTGCAGCCTGGATTTATCATAAAAGAATGGGGGATATGTTTAAGAATTTTAAGCAGAGGGGAAGGGTTACATGATGAACTGTACATTTTGAAAAAAAAATAATAAAATAAAATAAAATAATAATAATAAGATTAGAGGGAGGCAAAATGGATACAGGTGGAAACCAGTTAGCAGACTATTGCTGTGATCCAGGCAAGAAATGATGTTCCTACCTGGTCTAGGGTAGAAATAATCATATTCAAGAGATATTTAGCAAGTAAAATTGGTGAACTGGATGTGAAGATGGGAGAGAGGGAAATAAAAGAATGACTTCCAGGTTTCTGGCCGATGCAACCAGATGACGGTCATGCATCTAATGATTTGGGGAACACAAGAAGAAGACCAGATTAGAGAGAGATGGTAAGCTGGGTTTTGGATGTGCCAAGTTTGGGTGCCTTTGAGGAAATCAGGGCAAGATGTTAAGCAGGCAATTGGATATATGGGTCTGAAACTCAGAGAAGGGTTCTGGGCTTGAGCTAAAAAATTGGAAATCATTGACAGTGTAGTTAGTTGGAACCAGGAGCTTAGACAAGATTGCCTAATGAGAGAGATACTCCACCCCTTTACAGCCAGACTTCTGGATCAAGTAATACACACTTCTGTGTGTTTCTTAACCTCACAGATTACTCTTCAACCCATTGCAGTCTTGAGTCTTACCCCATTGCTCCACGGAAGCTGTTCTTGCCAAGATCAGCAGTGACTCCCTCAATGCTAAACACAGTGGGCAATTGTTAGTCTTTTCCTTACTTGATCTTTTTGTAGTGTTTGAAACACTTAACAAGCCTTTCTTCTTGAAACTTTCTACTCTTTTGGAATTTGTGATATCACTTACTTTTAATTTTTCTCTTACTTCTTTGGCCATTTTTTAGCAGTCTCCTATATGGTCCTTCTGCCTGGTATTTTCCAAGGCGCTCGTCTAGTTTCAGTACACTGGAGGAACTGAAAACTCAAATATCTACCCTGTTTCCCCTTGCCGTCGAGTCAATTCCAACTCATAGCAACCCTATAGGAGAGAGTAGAACTGCCCCATAGCATTTCCAAGGAGTGGCTGGTAGATTTGAACTGCTGACCTTTTGGTGAGCAGCCAAGATCTTAACCACTGCCCCATCAAGAAATATAAATGAGTGAAGGAGGCTATTTGCATATTAAACACATTGCCTTGTGGACCTTTATTTGCATAGTAATCCGTTTGTTTACAACTAAACAGCAATTTTGTTTACTTCTACAAATAACCATGTAGGTCTAATTGAAGCCAGAACAGAAGCAGGGAACATGAATTTTTATGTGAAATATCTCAATTATTTATATTTTGGTAACATTCCATTTCGTTTTAAACACTGTACTAGACAAACAAAAAATGTTGGAAGGCCTCATATAGCTGTTTGGCTGCCAGTTTGCCATCTTTCTTTGAGCAGTGGCATTTGCTTTCATGGTTTTAACCACCCTCCTAGACTGATAGGAGCCTTGGTGGCACAGTAGTCCAACACTTGGCTGCTAACCAAACGGTCAGCAGTTTGAACCCACCAGCCACTTTGCAGGAGAAAGATGCAGCAGTCTGTTCCTGTAAAGATTTCTCGCCTTGGAAACCCTTTGGAGCAGTTCTACTGTCTTACAAGGTCTCTATGAGTTGGAATTGATGACGGCGGTGGGCTTGGGCTTGGGCCTAGATTGATGATTCCACATTTGCTTCTTAGGCCTAGAAGTGACTTGCATCCAGCTTCTTAATAGACATCTCCCCTTGGCTACCCCAGAAGCTCCTCTGACCTAGCATCTTCCTCTCTTTAAGCCACTTCCTATTCTATCCAGCCACCCAAACTAGATTACTCTCTCCCCACCATCATGTACAACCAATGAAGGACTTCTGCGTTTACTATCTTTTAAATCACTTTCTTCACATTTACTTTCTGTCCCTAACGCCACTATTTCTATTTAGGCCTTTACTGTCTCTCACCAGGATTACTATAATAGTAACAGTGGCAGGCAGTATAGCATAGTATGAACTCTTGAGACAGATTGCCTGGTTCTTGGATGAGTTATTTAATTTCTCTGGGCTGCAATTTCCTCATCTATAAAACGGGGATGATTAAGTACCCCGTTAGGGTTGTTGTGAGGATTAAATGAGTTGATATATATAAATCACTTAGAAGAGTAAAGGATTTACTATTGCTATTAGTAGTGGTAGTAGTATTAGCAGTAGTAGTAGTAGTAGATCATTTCTTTCCTTCTAGCCACTGTGTACCTTTATTTTATCATCACAGTTGTCCTACTACATTGCAGTTGTCCCACTGCATTACACTGTCTTCTACTAGACTATTGGCTCCTTGGGGCTTTGGACTTTGTCTTATTCATCTCTGGATGAATGAATATAGTACTCAGCCAATTTTTTTTTGACTAAATGAAGAAACCTATTTGAGTCTCAGTTTCCTCCTCCATTAAATGACAGTGTGAATAACTGTGCTACCTCACAGCATCATTGGAAAGATCAAATGGGAGTATGAATGCAAATGTACTTTGGAAACCCTAAGGGATTACCAAAGTGTAAGGTATTCATGGTAGTAGTCAGAGTGGGTCCACTTTTTGCAGGCTGAGTTGGTGCCACCTTTTAATTTTGGGAGATAATTGGGGACTTTGCTAGGGGTCTTGGCCCATGCTTTTGCAGGTCTTCTGTTGAATTGTTGGCCACTTGGATTCCCATGACAGAGCCTTAGGTGAAGAGGAAAATGTCTATAGTCACACTAAGCTATGGGGCTCAGAAACTTCAGCCTTGCTGCCCACAGAACTGAAAATTCAAGGCCTGGCTACTCCCTCCCCAAAGGAACTTACAATCTTCATTAATTTCAGGAATCTTTCTGAACCTGTCATGACCTATAGACTGCACAAAGAACTGGTCTCTGCTGCCAGTAAGTATTTATGTTACTAGTTAATTGTGTCGTTCTGACTTCTTAATAAGATTTGGAGCAATAAGCCCTAGGAAACTACTTAGGGAAAGAAATTGGGGGAAAAAATACATACACAGACTTTGCCCACTGCCAAATGAGAGTGTTCTTGCTTTTTGTCTAACTCAAGAGTTGTATTATTTTTCATAAATCCATGTTATTTGAATGAGTTGGAGAAAATTGGGCAACTTGAGGGACGTGATAGGTGTGAGTATTTTATTGATTGATTTTGCCTCTTTCATCAGAACAAAAGTGTTGGTTCCCATTATCAGGGGGGATTTCAGTACAATTGCTGTTCCAGCTTTTCTTCAACAATTTGCCTTTTCAAAATGCTTTTCAATTGTGTTGTGAATTACTACTCCTAATCTGTTAGCCCTAACATCACATTTTCTAGCTGAGAAAACTGGGGGTAGTGGTAGAGGGGTGGGTAGGAAATGAGGCATATAAATCACCCCAAAAGTTGGCAACCGAAGAAGCATTGAAAGTATTGGCTGAGGCCACTGTATGAGGGTCCCTCCTCCCTACCTCCACATGACCTTTACCTTGCATTGTGCCTTGTGCTGTGTGCAGGAAAGATTCAGGAACTTGTCCTCATAATGGGTCTTTGTCAGGGCAAGAGGTGTTTGGTCTTTATTTCTAGGCTTTCATGGTGATTTTCACAGAAACCCAGAGGTAGCAGCATACCTTCCAGTACCATAAGGAAGTTAGGTGGGAAAGGGTTTCCAGCTGAAAGTTTGTTTTTGGGGCTTCAAGAACAAACTGCTGTGCCCAGAATTCTGACTTTTCTCTGAAATAGTTTTCTCTTCTGTTCACTTCTCTTTTCTCCTCTCTTCCTCATTTTTTCTAGATCTATTCTTTGTTTCTTTTTTTCTATATCTTTGCCTTTTGTTCTCTCTCTCTTTGCCTCTATGTTGTTTTGTTTCTTGGTCTACCTTTGTCATCCTTTCTCTGTGCCTATTTATCTTTCTGTCTCTTTTCATCTCTCTGTTTCTTTCTGTATCTCTCTTGTTGTTTGTGTCTATCTCTGTATCTCTGTGTGTGTGTATGTGTGTGGTGTGTATGAGATTTTGCTTGATCCAATTGCGCAGAAAGCCAAAGCATTTCTCTCACTGTTCTTTCTCAGAATCTGACAACCTGGATTACCGGCTGGGAGCTATTCACTCCCTGGTATATAAGCTACCAGAAAATAACCGAGAGATGCTGGAACTTCTTATAAGACACTTGGTCAAGTAAGTAACTGCTGAGCTTTCAGAAAGTGCTCCTGTTAGAGTACTGGCCCACATGGCAGGACTGCAGAGAAACTGTCTCTAAGCTTGTTAAATCCCAGCCCCCAGTTGCTTAATCCTGATCTGTGAGGAAGGTGGTTTTGCCTGGATGCTTATATATATCCTCCCAGTGTCATCATGTATCTGAGTTGTTTCAATTGAGGGGCAATGCCAAGGTAGAGTGGGCTGAACACAGGCTTTGCTGTCAGATAAACCTGGTTTTGCATCTCAGCTTCGCTTACTTAGCTGTATAATCTTAGACAAATCTACCTGAGCCTCTGTTTGGTTATCTGTAAAATGAGAACAGTAATGCCTACCATGCAGGACTGTTGTGTGGATTAGAAAGAACACAGGTAAAATGCATGGCACATAAGAGGCTGTCAAGAAATAGGAGTCATTGCTAAGATTCTAGTCATCTTCTTGTTCTGATGTGGTAGGCAGGAACAGATAGCATCATTCCAGAGACCAGAGCTGGTGACAGGCTCTGAGATGGGTCGGTGAAGGGGGGCATTTGTGTCCCACTGTGGTGTACCCTGGACAGAGGGTACAACTTTGTAAATAAAAATGAATTTCTTTGACTGATAAAAGGCTAGCTGCTGCCTCTTAGGAAGCAGTATGGTGCAGCACAAAGCACTCTGTCCAGGAGTCAACAAACTGGGTTCTAGTTTCAGTTCTGCCATTAGCTCACTCGGTGACCATGGGCAGACCACACTCAAGGCCTCTCTTTGTATATTAAAATTAAAGAAATATGAAAACAAGCTTAGAAAAATTGTAGTATATTTTAAGAGTTGAATAGTTAATAAAATAAAGATCAGCACACTCACAAAAATGCAGTGATATTATATTTTAATCTCACTTGGAGAGGCTCTCAAACACCGAAAATTGAGGCTCTTGGTAAATGTGAGGCCCTCAGCTAAATGGCCCTCTTAGCCTCCCCCTGTGATAGATCTGGTCACTCTGTCTCTGGACTTCAGTTTCTCCTTTGATATATCTCCATGATAAGATCCAGCTCTGACATTCTAAGGTTTTGTTTTTATTTCTGTAGCAAATGAATATTACAGGCAGGAATGAGTGTAGATAAATACACTGAACTAATAAGAGAATAGCTTTTATACTTATTGTTAATGTTTGCTATTTGGTATAATACAGAACATTAAGAGGCATTTTCTCCCCCAAAAGTAGTTTGTGATAATCTCAGTAAAAGTACAAAACATCAGGAGATATTTTCCATATAAGTTGGAAGTTTCCCAGGGGAAAAGAGATGTTGGGTTCAAGTCCCAGCTCTATCACTAATATGTTGTGTGACCTTAAGAAAGTCCTTCATCCTTTCTGGGCCTCAGTTTGTTCATCTATAACATGAGGGGCTGGACCAGCTAATCTAAAAGTACTGTTCCAGCTCTGACTTTCTAAGAGTTAGTATATGTGGCAGGAGCCAAGGGCGCAAGTAAATTGAGGCTGCTCCTGCTAGATGGGGCACCTGTTTCCATCCACCAAAGGAGCTGACCAGCTGCCTTACTTCAAGAAGATTGGTCCTCCAAAACCCTAGCAAAAAAGGGGCCAGAGACATGAACAGACAGGTCACAGAATTAGAAAGGCAAATATCCATAAATATGTGAAAACTTAAACCTATACTGAGATACGATTTATTGGCAAAACTCCTAAGGCTTGACTATATTCTCTGTTGATGAGATTTTAGGAAAACAGACACTCTCATATATTGTGGGTGAGAATTCAATACAGTCCACAAGGAGGAGAATTTGGTAATCTCTAACAAAACTTTGTATTCATTTACCATTTGACCCAGCAATCCTGCTCTTAAGCATCTACTCTAAAAACACATCTCCACAAATACAAAACAACATATGCACAAGGTTTGTCATTGCAGCATAATTTATAATAGAAAAAGATTGGAAAAAAACATGAATGTCCAATAGTAGGGGACTAGTTGGATAAATAATAGTATATCCAAATAATGTATTATTATGAAGTACTAAAAAAGAATGAAGATCTCTATGAATTTTGATTTTATAATGATTTCCAATATGTACTACAAATTTCAAGGATATAAAACACAAGGTGTAAAACAGGATATTTAAGATGCTACCTTTGTTTTTTGTAAGAAAGGAGCAAATAAGAATATATAATAAAAGAATATATATACATATTTTCTTTATTCTTGTCAAATGAAACACCGTAAGGATAGATAAAAAACTAATGATTCAAAAGGTTAAACACAGAGTTAACCATATGACCCAGCAATTCCACTCCTAGGTATATACCCCAGAGAAATAAAAACACATGCCCACACAAAGGCTTGTACACAAATATTCTTAGCAGCATTATTCACAATAGCCAAAAGGGGAAATAACGCAAATGTCCATCAGCTGATGAATGGATAAATAAAATGTGGCATATCCATACCATGGAATATTATCCAGCCCTAAAAGAGGAATAAAGTTCTGATATATACTACAGCATGGATGAACCTTGGAAACATTATGCTAACTGAAAGAAAACAGGCACAAAAGGTCACATATTTTATGATTCCACTTATATAAAATTTTTAGAATAGGCAAAGATACAGAGACAGAGAATATATTAATGGTTGCCTTGGGCTAGGGAGCAATGACATGGAAGGGGATGGAGAATGATTGCTAATGGGTACAGGGTTCTTTTTAAGGGTAATGAAAATGTTCTAGAATTAAATACTGATAATGGTTGCACAAGTCTGTGAATATACTAAAAATTGTTCAATTGTACATGTTAAATGGATGAATTTTATGGTATGTGAAATATATTTTAATGAGGCTGTCATAAAAATATTCTAATGAAAATGATTACTATGGAGGGTAGGTAGTGAATAAGGTCAAGGGAATAGGAATGAGAGCTAGATTTCTCTAGGTCCACCTCCGTATATGGTTTTGACTTTTGAGCAATATTAATATTTTAAATAGCCAAAAAATAACATTAAATAAAAAAGAAAACGTTACAAACCCTAAAATTGAACAAAAACAAAAGCAAATGAATCTGTATGTTTATCAGCTGATGACATAATCACAGAGAGAAAACAATTATTTCAACTAACTTTTCAACACAGCCCTCTTACTCATCCTTAATGCGATATAGTCTAAGAACGAGAGCTGCAAAGAAGTTGTAACCATCACTCAGTAGGTTTATTATTAGTAGTAATATTATAATTGTAATTTTGAAACATAAATACATGTGTGTGTATACATATACATATATATCACAAGAATAAAGCAAAAATGTAAATATATTAATGTTACTAAAAACCAAGATTTATGGTGTAAGAAAAAGAGATACAGATACAAAAATTATAGATGTAAAAAAAGTCAATAATGTTAATGTTGAATTGAGAATGTCAGTATAACTCAGAATTTAAAAGAAAAAACAAAACAGCAACAACAAAAACCTTTGTTCACTAAATGGGCTTAAAAGTGATTATGCCCAAATACCAATGAATACACCTAGTGCCCAGATTTTTGTTTCTAAATATTATTCCCTGCACAGAGGAACCAGGGCTTTTTAGAGAAATGGCTGATTCCACGTCTGGAACAAGGGAAGTACAAGGTGAGCCTGGGATAAATTGTACCACAAAGCCAGGAAGTGCTTAAACACTAATGGGGTTATGTCAAAAGGACACAGGAACCTGTTTGAAAGCACTGACACTGATTACATTTTTAACAACCTAAACATCAAAAACAATGAATACTGTATTTTATTATAACACATTGAATAAATAAAAATTTATAGAGGGCAATAGAGGAAGGAAAGCCCTTTATTACTGAAGAATGCCAGCTAATAAATGTAGGCAGAATGTAGAATTTAAAAAAAAATCACCATTTGTAATCTCAATGCCCTGACTGTTTCAGGCATGGACCAAAACCACTGGGTAAGAAATTGTTGAGGAACAGGATATTTACATAGTTTCAATGTGTTACCCACAGATTACTTACTATTTACAAAGGCAAAAAATGTATCTTTACAGTTGACCTATCTGGAAGACACCATCTTAATTAATTGATCATAGTGAAATCACTAATAACGGTACAAACTGAATTTATGCACCTCCTGATACAGTACAATAGGAAGTACAACTGTGAAACATTCTTGTCAAAAATGTTTAACCTGAATCAAATTAAGCCTTTCCATAGAAAAAACCAGAATGTTTGACATTCTATAAGACAACTGGCTTGGAATCATCGAAAAATTCTGTGTCATGGGGGGAAAGGGTAGGGGTATGATTCTAAATTAAGAGGCTAAAGAAACATAAACAAATGCAGCATATGAACCTTGATTGGATCCTGATTTGAAAAAAACAGCTCTAAAAGAGTTATTTTGTGACATTTGAGAACAGCTGAGTGTGGACTATCTATTAGATGATATAGAATTATCATAAATTTTCTTATGTGTGGAAATTTTATTATACTTTTGTAAGCACTTTTGTGCCTTTTTTGGGAGATGAATGTGGAAGTATTTAGGGTTGAAACAATTTACTATCAAAGGGTTCAGAAAAAAATATGCAAAGAGAAAGCAAATCTGGCAAAATATTAACAATTTTTGAATCTAAGTGTAGAGTATGAGCATTCATAGTACTATTTTATCAACTTTTTTTGTATGTTTGCAAACTTTCATAATCAAAAGTTATGGGGAAAATATGCATAAGCAGCATCAGCAGTTGATATTATTTTTGTAGAAATATTTATAACACAGCATTTGCCAATTCAACATTTTTCAGGTGTACAGCTTAGTGATATGAATCACATTAACCAGTTGTGCAACCATTACCCTTAATCTGTGCCAAATTTCCATCACTATACACAGAAACTCACTGCTTCCCAAACAGTGGCTCCCCTTCTCCTCTTCCTTCCCACCCCTGGTATCCACTAATAAACATTGGTCTCTATATTTTTGCCTATTTTTATTTTATATAAGTGAGATCA